CCCTTCTCTTCTTCATCGGATCATAGAACGACTTGGAAGCATAGAAATTGTCATAGTCATACCTCAGCCCACTCCACCCATCCGTCGAGGTATTATCGGGAACATACTTGTTCGTCATCTGATAATACTTCCCCAGCGTATAATACTCATATCTAGTCATCTCCAAGCTCACCTTCAACACATGTTTAAACCAATTTCCCATCACTGACTTGTCCAAGCCAAATCTACCGAAGTGGGAAACTGGGTAGAAATCAGGGCACTCCCACATTCCTGTATTCAAAACCGAATGTAAAGGCTGTTCCACCTTAGTCCAATTCAAAAAATCCCTACTTCTATACAAATACGTCATTCCCGTCTGCTCGCTCCTGCTGCCAATGATGGTGTTCCAGTGACCGTTGAGGCTCAGCCACGCCGTCGACGGGTCTCGAAAGGCGCTACTACTATTGACCTCCGTACCCGGGTCAACAATCGGATTGTTATCCGGTTTGACCCACTCGGTTAGATGCGGATCAGAGAGGTTCGCTGGAATGGCGTAGTTTTGTACCTGTCGATTCTGGGAGTCGATTCCAGTGTATAAAATGACGGGCTTAAGGCTGGGGTGGATGGTGGCGGAGCAAGACCAACAAAAACGCTTATTTTGTTTAGCTTCCAACTAAGGCTGAGGGAGTTCTTTCCCCGGGATTGATTGAACGATCTCATAGCCCTCCACCTGTATCCCACAAAAGCGCTTATTTATATAAAATGTATAACAATCGGATTGTTATCCGGTTTAGCTTCCAACTAATAACCGATTTGCTCTTAGATTGGACCATTGTTCCTCCTTTTCTACATGACCTATATGTAGGTGGGAAGTACACACCGAATCTTGCATTAAACCAATGTTTATCGAAGTTAACGTGTATGCGAATGCTCGCTTCCTTACTTCAGTCCGAGGATCCTCGATACATTGATCCCCTATCATCTCATGATATTCTTTCAGTATGCTTTTGGTCAGAGTGATATATATCCTCCAGGCAATGAAGTTAGGGCTATCGAGTTGTGTTTCTTTACGCATTGTAGCTTTGTTGGGATCTTGGACGACGGTCGGGTCCACTTCGAGAATTGCTTGGAGTACCAGTGCCCAAAAAGAAAAGGCACCTACTACAAGGGACATGGTGAGCATAAGATCGAGGGAGCTCTTATAAGGCTAGTGAATAAGGTCTGAAACCCAATATGAAAACATATCTGCTAAACCTCGATCAGGTATTTCTCGAAAGATCCTTTTAGCTCGCGCTGCACTAGGTAGACCTGCCAAAATACTTATCGATTTGAAGGGGCCGCTTTGGCTGACCCGAGTTTAAGAAATCCATACCAAGGTTGTATATGTTTCCACTATCTCCTTAAGGAAGATTTTTTAGACCAACTCGTTCATGATCGAATAAGATAGTTATCGTCCTTTTGAGTTTCCCACGTTCTAGTGGACCTGCTTTAAATACATTTAAGGCTGTTGTTCATTCTTTGCTTACACAAGAAGAAGAGGAAACCCACTCTCTTCTTTCTTCTTTTTTAGAACCAAGTCCTTAAAGACATAGTAACAATTATGTTAAGAAACTAGTTTGTTCAGAATTTTGTTGATCTCGTTAGATACAAATTGTCGAGCCCAACCAAAAAAGATGGGGCTCGGTATAGCCACAGTCCGGTTCCCAGGTTAGAGTATTCTTTATTATCAGCCTACTCAAATCAGAACTCAACTAGTAGATTCTCTTTCGCTTAACGGCCGGCTTTCATTGTTGCAACCTTCGCATTTCCTGCTGAGATCCCAAGTCTCCATGTGGGCCCTTTTGGCAACCAGCGACCTTGGCGTTTTAGAGAATCCTGCTCCTGTGTCGTGGGACTTGTAGCTCGGCAGTCCACCAGGTGGGTTTTTTATCCTTCCAGTATCGAGTGTGTTCTTGGATAGTTATAGCGGCCCATAGGCGCAAGATGTACCTTGTGTGTGGGGGGCGGCGGTCCCCTGGACATAGTCCTTTCAGACAGTGGCCGTTGTTTAGTCCATGGTCCATTAGATGGTCAGTGCAAGGTCTGAAATTTGAACACATTGATTTCGCTCATTCTCGTCCTTCGCTTCAGGGCCTGTCCATCGGTGTGGTCAGTACTCCATACTGTCGGGTAGCGAAGCTGACACTTGTTCACTAATTATGACGGTTCGCCAGGGCCTCTTTCCTCCTCCCTTTTCTGCTCACTCCTAGGGTCCAGACCCCCACAAAAGGGGTGGGAGTCGACTGAACATCTCAGCCGTTGGCGGGAATTTTGCCCACATCCGATCCCCAATTCTTGCTCACCACCGATGATCGTGTTGGGTGAATTGTGACCTCGTACAATCGTGTCGGGTGAGCAAGAGCCGCTTCGTCACAGTACTGGCTTATAGGCTAACGGGTCACACTTTGATCAAGTATCCTACAAAGAGATTCCCGAAAGCCAGAAGGATTAAAGGAATGGCCATAGGAATGAGCGCATCATGACATCTTACGATGTCTTGCTCGAATGAATTAGTTGGTACTAGAAATGTTAGAAAAAGTGAACGAAAAAAGTAACAAGAGGTGAAAAGGACAGAGACACTTCCCAACCGGATAGAAAAGTTCCCACTGATGGTATACTTAGTGTAAGCGAGCTCTAAGATCACACCTTTGGAATAAAATCCAGCTAGAAAAGGAAATCCTATTAGAGATAAGCTGCCCATGAACATCATGGCATAGGTAAAAGGAAACGAGGAGGCAAGCCCCCCCATCTTCCGCATATCTTGCTCATCCGACATGGCGTGAATCACCAAACCTGCACTCAGGAATAGTAATGCTTTGAAAAACACATGATTCATTAAGTGAAAGACGCTAACTGAATAGTTAGAGATGCCGCAAGCAAAGATCATATAGCCTAATTGACTGCAAGTTGAATAAGTTATGACCCTCTATAGATGGTTCTGTAATATTCCAGTGGTTGCCGCAAGGAATGACGTCGTAGCTCCTACAAAAGTAATAACAATCAAAGCCGTAAGTGGATATTCAAATAAAGGGGAGCACCTTGCTATCATGAAAATGCCAGCTGTTACATAGTAACTGCATGAATTGAAGCGAATACTGGAGTGGGCCCCTCTATAGCATCGGGTGACCAAGTATGCGATCCTATCTGTGCGAATTTCCCAATAGCACTAATAAGAAGTAAAATACAAATGAGAGTTATGGCATTCAATCTCATATTGCAAGATATACAAGAATTTTTGGGCACTAGCATGAGCAAAAATAGTTGAAAAGTCTAAATCACCTACTCGATTGACAAGTATAGCTTTTATAGCTGCTTTATCGGCCTAAAGTCGTATAAACCAAAAATGAATTAAAAAATATGAAGCAAGACCTACTCCTTCCCATCCTATAAATAATTGAAGAGAGTTATCTCCCGTCACCAACATTGGCATAAAAAAAGTAAAAATGGATAAATAACACATAAATCGAGGGCTATGCGGATCCTCAGACATATATGAAATGGAATAAAGATGGACCAAGCTACTTATAAATGTAACCACAATTAGCATCACTATGGTCAGGCTATCGAACACAGAGTCAGAAGTAAATTACGAGTCAGACTAATTTGCGAATTGAGCTAGCTCCTCTTGCATGCAATGATGTGGTGATGAACCTCTCATTCTAGTTCAGTGCTCTCTAAACCGTGTGGAAGGTTTTTCATTACACGGCTCACCAACTTGATATTCCTTTGCCACTCAAGTGTATGTACAGCATCTGCCGTGCTTAAGCCCCTTCTTCCCTTCCCTAATGAAAGAGTCCACCGCCCACCTTAGTAGTCAGTCTCAGCGTGCAGGCTTGCCTTTTAGTAGGTGATTCAACGAAGAAAAGGTTGGATCAAGAAAAGGGGGAAGAAAAGGCTAGATCAAGAAAAGGGGTACTACGAGCCCTCTGCCCCACACATCTAACTTGCTCGCGTGGTTCACTAATTCCACCTACTAGAAAGAGTGAAAAAGTGATACAATGCGCTAAAAGTGGGGGTGTGCTCTCCCTATTGGGGTGGGCCCTTCCCCATAAGGCCCCACCATCGGGGACAGAGGTGCGCTTAAAGTGGGGGTGTGCAGTCCCTATTAGGGTGGGCCCTACCCCATAAGGCCCCACCATCGGGGCATAAGCGCCCTCTTGCTACCCATATATATCGAATCACCAACTACCCATAGTCTAAGTCTTTTTTTCTAGGAAGAGTCTAGCCTAGCCCTATTATAGGCCCGGTTCAAATTGAACAATTGTTGACTATCTCACATTGCCTAACATTCAATCAACCTGAAATTTTAGGTTGGTCCAAAAGATTTTTTCACCCCAACTCGAGTTCACTTCTAACTAGTAGAAATGTAACTCGTGTTACATGATTTTCTTATTGAAGAGGAGGAAGGTATTTCAAAACTTTAAAGCATCAAGGAAGAAAACATTAGGGTTAATGGTTTATTATTTAAAAAAATTAATATATGAATGTAAGAAATAAATGAAGATCTTATAACTTGAAATATGAGAATAACTTTATAAAATGTACTTGCTCCACAATAATGCAAGAACCTTATTCAAAAAGGAATTATTTCTTTATTAATTTTTTTAATTTGAATTTATAAAAGTATATTTTTAGCTGTTTATACTTTATTTATTTTCATACTGGGTGTCAAGGGTTGTCTATAGAATTAATTGTTATAATACTAAAAGTATTTATAAATTAATAAAGATCAACAAAGGGAAATTCTGAAAATCTAACTCTTTATTCATAGACAAAAAAGGAGGCTAATCTACCATTACAACCTTAATTAATCAAAAACTAAGAGTTAGTTCTAACATTATTAGCGGTTAGAAAGCTGTTCCAACTTAAAAATGACTTAGTTCACCCGAGCACTTCTCATACTCCAAGCACTTAAATACTCCACCGTGATAGACTCTGTTCCATTGTTGAAAACATGCAAATGAGCATCCCCAAACACCGCCTTTGTTGGGTATACCCTCGAAGTTATGCATGTTTTTCCTCCCCCACCAAAGCTCTCTATCACCGAGTGATCAATCTGCACAATAATACATAGTTTAGATTTGTCGATACGGTGCGAGAATGTATTGGACTATGACTTTACGTACCAAGCTTCTTAATGAGAGCTTTTTACTCGACAAATCGATGTCGACGAAACCCGCAAATGTCGGCTTGTATAATCCATCTTTCAAAGATGAGCTACACCAAAAGAGACAAACCAGAGCTTTGTAAATATAAAAAAATAATTATAAGGTCCTTTGATAAGGGAATCGAAGCTACCTTCTTGCATCAGAGCACATAAGAACCACATGATTAGCCTCTGCCTTGAAGATCCTGAAGAACACAGGAGTGAACTCCTCGAGGTTTTCTGAA